AAGGGGGCAGGATATAGATTATGATCTAGCAAAAGGAGACTGAGGAATATATACAGTAGATAATATAAAATAGAAATTTTATTCATACAAATATGTATATAAATAAAATAATGTATAATAAATATAAAAAATAATAGGAGAACCAAGAGAAAGCCATATCATGAAAATTCAGAAAGGAGAGTAAATACCCAGGAAGAAATGGTGGTCAGGAGTGTTAAATGCTGCAGAGATGTCAAGATGCATGAAATCTGAGTAAAGGACTTCAGATGTGGCAATTAAACAATCATAGGTAACTTGAGGACAGTTTCAGCTGGGTGATGAGGTCAGAAGCCAGATTGCAAACGGTTGAGAAACAGTGAGAGCAAAGTAGCTTTTTGGGGGCGTCTGTGTTAGAATTGCACAGACACATGGCTACAGAATCAAGTAAGAAACCCTGAGGCAGGGAGGAAATCCCTACTGTATGTTCAGACATGGAAGCTCAGAATTTCTTCCACTAAAAAGAAGTAAACAGAGCTCAAGGCCTTTCAGACTTCAATTGGTTATACAAGAAGGCTTGTAGATAGGTAGTGCCAACTAATTATAAAATATTTTCAGATGGATGTCAAAAGTTGAGTGCTCATTTATCTTATAAGCAATGGTTGGAACCGAAATGAAGAATGTTTTCATGGCTTGGTTTGACTTTTCAGTGGCTTGTCATTCATTCAGTTGTCTTGGTCGTTCAGTGCTTCGACTTTGTATTTTTCCTCTAGGTGTGTTGTCCACCTTGGGAAATGGCTACGTGATTTATATGTCTTCAAAAAGGAAGAAGAAGCTGAGACCTGCTGAAATAATGACAGTTAATTTAGCAGTCTGTGACCTGGGGATTTCAGGTAATACAGCAATAAATATCATTTCTTCTTGATGCTTTTTAACTTTTCCATTCCAAGTTGACCAATGAGTTTATTCCTTTACTCTAGTACTGTCCACACTCCTTGAAGTTAGTGGGAACTCCTGGTTAGAAGAGATAGAAAGGTAGGCCTGGGCCTACACGGCTGTCTCTGGTGGGGTTTGGGGCCAGGAAAAAACGATGCTATGTGACACCTTTTTTTCTTCTTGCCCCCGAATAATTTTATATTGATTAAGTTTAGAAACAAGTTTAAAATGAACACCCAGAAGATCCTTGAAGGAGTGAAGAAATTATGAACTGGCAACATGCAGCATGAGAGATATGTGCAGCAGAGTAAGAACCATCTTAATATTACTGATTTAGAGACCTTAGAGGTCATCTAATGCAACCCTCTTAATTTATAGATGATAGAATTGAAGCCTTGGTAGGTTAAGTCAATAGTTAATAAGCATTTATTAAGCACCTACTATGTGCCAGGCACTGTGATAATTGTTGGAGATACAAATATAAAAAAGTAAGAGTTTCTGTTCTTGAAGAGTTTACAATTAATGGGAAGGGGGAACAACACACAAAAGGCTGCAAAGGCATGGGGGGAAGGTACATAACATGAGGGAATGGTGGAGATCAGATAAATCCCAGAATAATGTAACCAGCTAAGAAAGGAGGGGATATACAAGCTGAGCCTCATCTTCAAATAGAGGTTTTAGAATGAAGTGACTTGTCCAAGGTCATATAGGTCACCCGAAAGTAGGAGAATCAGCATTTGAATCCTAGTTCTGAGAATCCAAATTAATCACACTTTCTACTAAACCACTCAAAGAATAATGGGTTCAAATTTCAAATCCCATAAATCAGGCTCCCATTGCGTGCTCAGCACTATGCTAAGGCACTGTGGAGCATATAAAACAAGCATATATGATTACCCTGATTACCCCTTCCACTGAACTCAGAGCACTTACTGTCTCTACCATTCATTTGGCATAAATCACATGCCAACTCATGCCCTGCTTCCTCATCCCCAATCCTACCCTTACCTAAGTAGAAAGGCAGATTTTACAGATTCCAGGAATCCATGGTATGGGCCACTTTGGAAAGTAAGGGAAGCATTCAGAATTAAGAGACCTAGGTAAACCCCAACTCAGTCTTAATACTGAATGGTTTTGAGCAGAGGATGACTTGGCTGGATGTACATTAGGCAGACTACTTTGGCTGCTGTGAGAAGGTTGGATTGATGGGAGAGACTTCAGGAAAGGAGAGTGGTCAGAAAGTTGTTGGAATAGTCAAGTCCAGGCGTGGGAAACCTGTGGCCTTGAGGCCACATGCGGCCCTCTAAGTCCTCAAGTGAAGCCCTTTGACTGAATCCAAACTTCACAGAATAAACCCCCTTAAGAAAAGGATTTGTTCTATGAAACTTGGACTCAGTCAAAAGGCTGCATCTGAGGACCTAGAAGGCCTCACGTGGCCTCCACAGGTTCCCTACTCCTGGTCTAGTCTTTGAATAAGGCAAAAAACACTTGGAGAACAAACAAGATTGGGATAAAAGTGAGATTTTAATGCAGGTCCTGAGACGATGGTTCTTGGCCTTTTATGGGTCATTAACCCTTTCTCAGAATAACGATTCAAATGAATAAAGTTATCTACATAGGATTACAAAGGAAACCAAATGTTAGTAAAGATGGAAAAATTTTCCCCATCTGAGTTCACTGACCAGCCTGCGATCTAGGCTAAGAATGCTTGCCCAAAGATGCCATCTTTGTCCAGCTGGTAATGTATATTGTAGGGATTTGGAGTGAATTATTTACTGATTCTGTCTGTATACTATATATGTTTGCATTGTAAACATATGTATAATACTTATATGTATAATACTTATATATACACAAACAGTATGTATATGTATATATGTGTTTATATACATGCACATATTACATATTTGCATATGTATATATGAATATTTAGGAGTTTGCTGTTCAGCATAACTTCTCAGAGCTGCTTCCTCTCCTGTCCTTGTTATCTTTCTATGTACATACATTTGGAATGAGAATTTTGGATTATTGTGATAATTCTGTGACCTTGAGTCACTTTTCTTGGTCTCATTTTCCTCCTGTAGAAAATGAAAGAGTTGGGTTTAATGATATCTAAGGGTCAGTCCATTTAGCTCTGACATTCTGTGATGAGCATTCTGTACTTGGAGTTGAGAAGATTTGGGTTTGAATCCTGCTTCATATGCTAGCCTGTTTGTTTTTGAACAAGTCTCATTTACTGTCAAATCATTCCAGTTATAGAAATTATGTTCATTTCTGTTTACTGTTTGAAGAGGAGACATGAACAGCCAAAGTTGTCAGAAATATTTTAATCACTGTTTCTCTGCCTAAAGTCACCCTTTAATGATGCTTTGTGCTGTCAGCTTTTCTTCCTTCTAAGTATGCTTTTCTGAATCTGCGAATCTCTTAAGAATAGGATCAAAAAAGTCCCCAGTGAGACTATTCATTGCTCAGCAGTAGATTAGCTGAACTCTTACCGAGAGTTTGACTGCCCAGAATTCTTTATGTAGGCCTCGCTCAGTGGGTGGATTTAAGCCACATTAGTCCTTCTGGGAATTACATAGGCCAAGAAGAAGAATGAAAAGCTGCATCCTCTGCCGTGAAAATATTCCTGGGCAGAGCAAAGGGAGTCATTGGGCTGCACTATGTACCTATGTACCTTGCTATCACTCACAATGACCACAGGGTGGCGGTATTGAAACATGAATGGCAGCTTTCAATTTCAATCTTAATTAAGAGGCAATGTGGTTTAGTAGAACAAGTATTGGATTTGGAGTTAGAGTACCTGGGTTCAAATCCCACCTCCGCTACTTACTACATTCCTGACCTCGACAAGCGAATCTCTCTGGGCCTCATTTTTCTTATCTGTAAAATGAGAGGGTTGTACTAAATAATCTCTGAGATTTTCTCCAGATCCTATAATTCCCCTAAACATTACTTAACATGCATTTTTCAATTTGTGCCAGGCACCGTGATGAGCCCTAAGGATACAAAGGAAGGCCGAAACCATCCTTGTTCTCAAGCAGCTCATGGTCTAATGGGAGTAGACAATATGTAAATAAATAGTTCAATACATGATATTTATAGATTTACAGATTAAATAGGGGGTAATCTGCGAGGGAAAGGTGTTAGGGGTGTGTGTGTGTGTGCAAAAAATAAGATTTAAAACTTTTTCTGTTGCATCCAGTGTGGAGATTACAGTCCATGACTAAAACCTGACTTATCATCCATCCTTCACTGATAACTAATGATGGGCTCACAGGAATTAGATGAAGCCTAACCAAAAAAATGGTCCCCTAGTTGATGTGATTTCATTGAAAGTGACTTCACCTAGAAGAACTTGCTTCACAAAAAAACGAAACAAAACAAAAACAAAAAACAAAAAAAAAACCCTTTCCCTTCGCAATGACAGAGTTCTCAGACTCACCTGGCCCATTCTCAAGCCCACCACCTCTCACATTTTTTTTCCTCAGCACACTTTTATAAATTGGCAGCTACGCTCTGTCTCTTTCCTCAACCCTGTTAGACTGTCAGCCCCCAAGGGCATGTATCAACGTCACCAGGCAAACTGCCATGTACCTGTGAAGAGATGTGACAGACTCATCCCTTACTGACATCCCATGAGTTCCTTTGATGAAACCTCACTTTGGTGCCTTAATATAATGTGCAGGTGGTCCTGGGTTTTTAAGCTGTGCCAGGGGAGGGCAAAGTTTGGGAAAATTTAGGCAATCTGCTTCGGTGATGGGCCTGGTAATGGACTGAGTGTTTGTGGTCCTCAGTTTTCTGACTTTAATCACCAGGTTGTTCTCAGGGTAATGGAGGTAATTATCAGAGACAACCTACTGATAATTTATCCATATACACATATACATATATATGTTTGTATGTGTAGATATACACACATATTTACATATATGTGGGCAGCAAAGTAGCACAGTGGATAGAGTACTGGGCTAGAGTGAGGAAGGCTCATCATTCTGAGTTCAAATCTATTCTCAAAAACTTACTAGCTATGTGACCCTGGGCAAGTCACTTAACCCTGTTTGCCTCAGTTTCCTCACCTGTAAAATGGCCTGAGAAGAAAAAAAAGACAAACCAAAAACCCTAGATGGGATCATTAAGAGTCAGACATGACTGAAAAAAACTGAACAACAAATATTTACATTACCTTCTTTCCCAAACATATCCCTCCCCTTGTAATGAAGAATTAAAAAGAAAGAGGAAAAATAGCAGTTCAACAAAACTAATCAACACACCGATATAGACTGAAAGTATGTTCCATGCCTACAGTCCCCACTGTCTACAATGAAAGAAGGGAGATGGGTTTTATTTTCTCTTCTCTGGGGCCAAAGTTGGTCATTTTAATTAAAGAATATTCAATTTTGTGTTTTTGTTTTTTTTCTATTTTCACTGCTGCAGTCACGGGTATATTGTTTTCCTGGTAATGTTTACTTCACGTGTATCAGTTTGTGAGGAGTGCTCCTCAGAATACATCAAATTCATATTTTTTTAAAAAATACAGTGATAGTCCATTATATTCAGCCACCATCTTTTGTTTAGGCATTCCCCAAGTGGTGAGCCTTTTCTTTGTTTTCAATTGTTTACCACTCACAAAAAAAGTGCTGCTCCTATGAATGCTATAGTATGTATAGGACTCTACTATTTTTGACCTCTTTGGGTGTGTGTATGTGTATGTGTGTGTGTGTGATAATATATGTATATAACATATTTATAATATATAATACATATATACATGCATAGTACATTTGTGTACATCTGTATATCTATCATCTATCTGTAGGACTTCTGAGTCAAAGGGAATGGATCTTTTAGTCACTTTTTAGCATATGTTAAAAATGACTTCCAAAATGATTGAACCAATTTTGCAATTCCTCTAACATTGACATCTATTGTCATTTTTTTTCAACTTGCTGGGTATGAGGTAAAACTTCAGGGCTGTTGTCTTTTTCTTCTTATTATTAAAGGTTTGGAGCAATCTTTCACATGCTCCTTAATAGTTTTTAGGTTTTTTTTGAAAACAGTTTGTTCATAAACTTTGTCTATTTGTTGGCAAATGGCTTTTGGTCTTAAATGTTTGTCTATATATTTATCTATATTTTTACCATCAGATTCTTATGTCAATATGATACAATGATCATTTCCCCCATTCAGCAACTTATCCTAGTTGCATGGATTTTGTTTGTATGTTAGCTTTTCAATTTCATGTAATCAAAACTATCTTTTTTAAAAAAATCATTTATGATAACTTCTGACCCTTATTTTTTAGGCACTTTCCTTCTAGCCATAGCTGTGAATAGTACCTGATCTTATTATCTTCTATTTTTAAAAAAAATAATGTGTGATTTATTATTCAAGTTACATATCCATTTAAAATTTATGGTGAAATATATTGAAACATGTTTGTCTAAACTTAATTTCTGCCCACCTCCTTTCCAGTTCCCCATCAGTTCAAGGAATTCTTTCCCAGATAATTTATATAGTTACATAATTGAACACAGTGAATTTAATCAAATCCAATTGAATTCTTGTCTGTTCCATTGATCTACTCTATTTTTTAACCAGTACCAATTTTTTTTGGTTATTACTGCTTTATAATATAATCTAAGGTTTGGGAATGCTATTTTCCATTTATTCCTGCTTTTTTTCAGTGTTTTCCCTTGAGATTTTAGACCTTTTGTTCTTCCAAATGAATTATAATTATTTTGTCTCAATCCATCCATTTACTGATACTTAAAGATAATAGAGTCTTCTTTGCTAAGGGGAGCACCCACAATCGTGAAATGACAGGTCCTTGATGTATTGGGCCTTTCTGTGTATTCTCTTAATAAGGCCCAGCTTGGGAGAATATTGAGAAGAATGTTGGCTCTTTAGCAATCGGATAACCATCCTTTCAGATTGCTTCCCCACCTTCCACGAGGCCAGTCACACTTTGGTCCAATGGGAAACTTATTCATTTATTTCTTTAAATCAACAAGCAATTCATCTGTTACAATTTAGTTCAACGTTGTTTGATTGCCTCTATCGATTCAATTCAGCAAACGTTTATTAACCAGCTAACACGTACTACTTAGGCACTAGAACAGCTAAATTTCCATCCTGTCCTCATGGAGATTAGTATTGGTGCTAATGAAGACTGTCCTTCCTGCCCTTCTCTCCCAATGCCCTCCCTTCTTTACCACCACATCTTACAATCCCTAGGTTTTTCAAAAATCAGTTTCTATAGGAGACCTTTTCTGATTCCAACTGCTTTCCCCTTGAAATTACCTGGTATTTACTTTACATTTATAAATTTTGTGTTTAGTTACTTGTATGTGTGTTGTTTTCCAATAAATGGCAAGTTCCTTGAGGGCAGAAACTATTTCACTTTTGTTTTTTGCATCTCCAGAGCCTGGAACATAGCAAGCATCTCATACATGTTTATTGATTAATTGATAACACTTCTATTAGCTTGGCTGGCTAGAATGCAGTTCTGATGACGCCACAGGCTTGCTGCAGATCTATAGTATTGAGCACATAGGGAGCTAATGATGAAGAGTTCAGATGAGTTGGTAGGAATTCCTATCCAAGACTGAAAACAAACAAACTTCCAAGTCTATTTTTTGCTGTATGGATGGTGAATCAATAGCAGTGACCTTAACACGTGGAAAACAGCACAACTTGTTTGGGAAGGGAGTTATCAAATAATAACTATTCTGTTACCTCTCCAAACCTCAGTTTCTTCATCTGCAAAATTAGGTAGTTTCCCAGTCTAAGTTCTAGGATATTTCTAGTGCAGTGGTAATTCATACTTATACAAGCTTTTCCTCTACAATTATCTTGTGAGGCAGGTAGCACCAATCTTATTATGCTCATTTTACAAATGAGATAGCTGAGGCCCAAGTTGAAAAACTAGTTAATAACAGATTCAGGATCTGAACCCAGTCACTAGGTCATTCTGTCTGTCTAATCAGTTAAAGCAGCTTCTTTAGACAAACACATTATGTAAACTCATTTCCTCCACCTTTCCCTCTACATGTTCCCTTCAGGGAAGGAGTAGGCCACTAAATTTAATACAGTAATTGAACAGGAAAGCCTGGATGAATCTAAGCAGAAGGATGCTTTCTAGAAAGTCAGAGAAAATGAAGGAGCTCTGATAAATAAATAACTAGAGCCTCCAAGGTCCAGGGAGATGCAAAGAACTTGAGCCCAGCACTTACTGAAATTGCTTTTCTTTATTTCACGGAAATATGAGCATGGCACAGCAAAATATGTGGATACCATGTGGAAAAGCCAGAGTTTAAACCTAGCCCCCAGTGCTGGCCCCCTCCTCAAGTCTTCCTCATGCCAGGCCCAGTGCTCTGACCAAGGTAGCAACTGGTTGCCTCTGTCTAGTCCAATACCCTTATTTTGCAGATAAGGAAACTTTCTTTTGCCTTTATTTTTATTTTTGTATTTCCAGTGCTTAGCATGGTTTCTGGAATATAGTAGGTGCTTAAGAAATGGTTATCCACTGACCGATTGATCTATTGAAGTCCTTGAGTACGGAAGGGGTCATTAATCAATTGAGCCAGAATAGGTGGGTCAATTTCCGTCCTGAGAAGGGAGTTTTACTATATCAGAGGATAGATAATGGTGCATCCCACCAGGTAACTGTAGGGTACTGGTCATTCTAATATTCTAGGGGAACCTTATCTAATCCAGTGGCATGATTTGGATCAAAATCATTACCTGTGGCTGGGAACAATTCCAAGGACAGGTCAAGGTAGGACCAGGCATGAAGTAGGCCTGGAGATCACCAAATGCAACTTTATATTGTGCCTGTCTTTTGACTGTGGCTCCTGCCCACAAAGGAACAGCTGTGCACTTTTAGTGCACAGGCAGTGTTTGGGCATGGAACATCTGAGGGAGAGGAGGAAGACTATAGCCCTAAAGAAAAACTTTCTTCTTCAATATTTTGCCCCAACAGTGATTGGTTCCCATTTTTTTTTTGGTTGGATAAACTCCTTTCAACAACAAGATGTATTGTAAACTGCCAGAGTAAATCTTATCTATCTATCTATCTATCTATCTGTCTGTCTGTCTGTCTGTCTGTCTGTCTATCTATCTAACATTCTGAAACTATTTATTTCTTAAAGTGTCATTAAAGAATTTTTAGCATGAATTCCTTGGATTGTTGATGTAAATTACTGGCCTAGGCCACCATTGCAGCTCCACAGCCTGGTTCTATGGACTTTCACATGAACTTAATTTTGAATAACAGAAAGAACTTTGATGGTAGAAAAAGTACTATAACAGAAATCAGGAGCCCTGGGTTCCACTCTTTCCTCTGTCCTCTTCTGACTTTGTAATTGAATCTCTCTTGCCTTAAATTGCTTCTTTTGCAAGGTGGGGATGAAAACATCCCAAATGTCTGGAGGCAAGGGGTTAAAATAGTTTATCTCCTAACCATCCTTCTAGCTCTAAGAACTATAGGGCCAGGGGCTAGAATTGTGATTTCATGGGTATGGGAAGCTTCTGATGAGGAAGCTACCTCTGCCAATGTAGATTGGCACCCCTTTTGCAATTTACACTCTTAGGAAGCTGCCTTGAGAAATTTAATGACTTTTCCAGGGTCACCAATGTAGTATATGTCAGCCATGGGCTTTAAATCTAGGTCTTCCTCACTCCAAAGTTGGCTCTCTATCTACTCTGCCAAAGTCACATGGGTAGTAAATAAGAGTCAGAATCTGAGCTCAGGTCCATAGCTCTGTCCCTTGTATTACTTAGAGTTCTTGTTCCAGAAGTTGTCTCTCATCTAAACAATCTGACAAAGGAGAGGAATAGGGTGGCATCAAGGTAAGGAGTAAAATGATTGTTTTGATAACACCAGCATTTCCCACGGTAAACTGCGTTTTTCTTTTCTAGTTGTAGGCAAGCCTTTCACGATCATTTCTTGCTTCTCTCATCGCTGGGTGTTTGGCTGGGTTGGCTGCCGCTGGTATGGATGGGCCGGTTTTTTCTTCGGCTGTGGGAGCCTTATCACTATGACTGCTGTCAGCCTGGACAGATACTTGAAAATCTGCTACCTCTCTTACGGTAAGTTGGCAGGTTCCTTCAGAAGTGTCCTTCTCCTTTCTTGGGAGGCAGGGCTGGAGATTGGTTTGGGAGGACTGAATCAGATCCATAGCCCTCAGAATGGCATCTGTGTAATCTCATGTAAACTCCCATGGCCCAACATATCCTATTTTTTTTAAAAAATATTATCTCAAAATGCTTTCTGGTACTAGGCCACCAAACTGGAGAAAGTGGATCATTTTTCCTCATACATCTTGTATTTTAGCTTCTTCCTTACGTGAAGGGAAGGAATATAATAAACTGGTGGAATCCCTGGGTAATAGATCCTTAGGCCATCTGCCTCAGAGAAAAATCTAATTATAATTAAAGATGGGCTTGATTTTCTCCTCAGGCTCAGGTCCACTCAGTTGTTGAGTCAAAGGGGATTCCAAAATGGAAAATCTTGCCTAGGGAAATACCTTGCCTACAAATCTTTGAACATCTTTGTATGTCCAGGCTTGGTCTATGTAAAGTCACAAATTAAAATGTTTTCGTTAAAGCATTTTTCCCCCTCTTGAATGTGGAATGGGATAGGGGTTGTGGATGTTGACTCAGGAGGAAAAAATGATAAAATTGATAAAATATCTCAGGGATTGGTAAATGTTTTTTCAAGTAGATCTTTCACTGTGATGAAAATGTTTGAGTCAGTCAGTGGTTTTTCCTTTTTTGGACACAGAGGACTTGTGGGATCAGAGGAGCACCCTCTGGAGGTTTAAGTTTAACCTATTAGGCTTAAGTTTATTTAACCCCCTAGGCTGAAGTTTAGGCATTCTTGGAATGCTCAGGGTAAGTACAATGTTTACAATGCTCTTTAACAAGATCAGTCATCTTTGATTCACCTGTCAATTATTTTTAGCCTTTAGCCATCAATTAAAGCGCTGAGACCTTAGACAAGGGAGAAAAATGGGTCAAGCTAGTTTTGTCTACCTTAATGTGATAGAATCTTACCTTTAAAAGTTAATTGGTGAAGGGTGGAATTTGGACCTGTGATTTCATCACAGTGTTTTTTTTAATGAGCACTGGATTACTCGTTTGATCATTCCTGCAACCCTGGCCCAACAATCATTTTGGAATTGTTCATAGATCTAACATGAGCCAAGATGCCAAATACAACTCAGTCAATATCCATCCGCTGATCGGTGATCAGTGTTTTGGGTTATTTCATCTTGAATGAAGGGACACGGCTTTTAAATTTTATAGCTGGTGTCAAAATTTGGCAATTAATGGTCCTATGGATTTAAACAGGATCTTGTTTACTCTAGAAGAGAAGAAAGGCTTTTAGGCCAAAACAATACTTTCTATTTCCCAGGGAAGGTGTGGTCAAACAAGTTCAGAGGGAGTCTAAATGTTAGCTTCTCTCTTTTCTAAAGATTCTGCTTTAGCCTGTGGCTTTGCCTCAGTCTAAGGGATGATGCTATTGATTCCCAGAAACAGTTGGGGATAGGGGGAGGCATTGAGCAAAGGAATGGTAAGGACACCGGCTAGCTTTTCAGCGTCTTCTTTATAGCCTGGCTTCACTGTTTTGTTTGAAGTTGTTTGGACATCCCAGAACATCTGAAGCACTCATAGCATCACAGAATCATAGACTCTTAAGACTGGAAGGAATCATAGCGGTTAATTGGTCCAACTGCCTATCCAAGGCAGGAATCCTTTTGACAGAATCCCTGATCGCAGGACGTCCAGCAGTCTTGTTTGAATGCCTCCCATGATGGGAAACTTACTACCTCCAGAGGCAGTCTGGTTCCATTGTTGTTAAACGGTAATTTCTATTGTTGAACCAAAATCTGCCTCCCTGTAACTTCCACCCGTTGGTCCTAGTTGCCTCTGGAGCATCACAGAACAAATCTACTCCCTCCTGTATATGACAACTTTACACGCTATCCAAATGTAAGTACAAAACACCTCACAAAGTCACTTATATGTGTTTTTCATTGAATTATCTGTTTTGGATGATCTGTGCCAATGCTCCCTTCCACTAGGGTGGATAATCGAGAGTGGACTGCACAAGAGTTACTTACTTAGCCACTCTGTTCCTAGATTGTGAATTTTAAAATCTTTAGATCCAACTCACAGTGTGATTCAGCTTGATAAATGAAGATTTTAACATGGCAACAATTGTGTAAATGCAATATAGACTCTAGTCACTAGACGAGATGCCAGAGTGGAGCTAAATGTAAAAGTTCTTTTCCTTTTCTTTTGGAATTCAAATCAATTCAACAGACACTCGTTAGGTGCCAAACACAAGGCCCCATGCTAGGTGCTGGGGTTACACAGAGATATAAGATGGAGACCCAGCCTTAAAGGAGCTTACAATCAATTAGGGAACACAAGTTATGGACATTAACTATAATGTAAATTAGAACGTAGGAACAAAAGAGAGGGCTTATAGAGTGCTGTGAGACATTTCAGGAGGGAGATTACTTTTGGGCGGAGTTGGGGGGGGAATGAAGGATCAGGGAAAATTTTGTGGAATAAGTGACATGTGAGATGGGGTTCTTAAAGAGTCACAAGATCATGGATCTAGAACTGGAAAGAAACTTAGAGGCCATTGAGCTCAGTCCCCTCATTTTATGGATGAGGAAACTGAGATACAGAGAAGTGACTTGCCCAGGATCATACAGCTAGTAAGTGTGTGAGACTGCATTTGACCTCAAATCTTCCTGACTCCAAATCCAGTTCTCTCTCCATATGGAACCTAGCTATCAGGAAGAGATTTGTGGGATGGAAAAGGAGTCCACTGGGGGAAGGTACTGAGTGTGGCAGTTTGGCTGATTCTCAGAGTATGTAAGGAGGATCATGAAAGAAGATTGCAAGGGTAGGTTATAGTCAGAAGGTGAAAATGGTTGAATGCCAGCCTTTGGAGTTCAACTGTCATTTGGAGAGGTTTAAGAGCAGGGGAGGGATGTGATCAGACTCCTATATTTGGCAGTCTTGTGCCACATAGAGTGGCAAGAGAGGAGAGAATGGTGGCAGGGATAATAGTTACGAGGCTTTCGGGGTAATCTAGGTAAGAGATAATGAAAACCTCAGCTAGGTTTGGCTGGGGGAATAGAAAAGAGAGGTAGATTGAGAAAATCAATTTATTTCAATTAGAAAAAATTACCATGTCTACACTGAGGATCCTTCTGCTGGGCCCTAAGGGAGACATACCGTTTAGATGAAATGTGGCATGCAGCTTCCAGTCTAGAAATATCACATCAGTATGACGGCTAAGTTAAAACAACTGGTTGGATATGGGGAGTGAGGGGCAGGGGGGACCAAGAGGATTAAATAAGCAGAGCCTCTGAGTCTGAGGGTTAATAGATTAGACTTCTCTGAAATTGATCTTCATGTTTAGTTTCTGATACTTTAGACCCAGACAGATAAACATCCAGAATCCCACTTCCTTGGATCTAACAACCAAGGTGTGTGTGTGTGTGTGTGTGTGTGTGTGTGTGTGTGTGTGTGTGTGTGTGTGTGTGTACAGGTGTGTGTGTGTGTGTGTGGGTAGCACTCTTTTCAGATTAAAGCCATAATTTAAGCCAATCCTTATTCTGTGGTAGTGACCTTGAACTCCTGAAAAATGTTCCTTGGTGTAGCACTATTGCTCTTTCAAGATGTCAGGACTTATCTTTTTGGGGGATTCTATTTTGGTTAATGGAAGCTAGCACTGGGGAACACAGTGATGCTCTCAGAGAATTCCATCTACAGTGCTTTCTGAGCTTCTCCTTTAAGATAATCTGGCTCTCTCATGACTGCTGAGTGATAGTGATGGTTAATCTAATATAAACAGGGAGGCTGTGCTACCACTTGCCACAGAGAGACACTTGTTTTAGTTTTGTAACATATAGTAATGATCAACATCTCCTGTACATACATACACATTTCCTGACAAGGACATTAAGAGGTCAAATGAGATAAGAAGGTGCAAAAGCTTTTTGGAAGAAAGGTGTTCAATAAATACAAGGTATGATTTATTCTTTTTTCCTCACCTGATACGAATTTGTCTTTGAGTGCATTTGGGTGCCTGGTGGAGTAGGGAATTTGAGGGATCCTGCTAAGGTTTCCCCACCCTGAAATAACTTAGATCCATAAGTTGTCAAAGTTGGAAACTAGTTTAATCCCCTGTTTTTGTAGATGAGGAAATTGAGTTCTAGAAAGGCTACTTACTGAAGGTCAGTCAATAGATGATCTATCAGTGGCAGGGTGGGGATTTGAACCTACATCTCTTGACTCCTAATTCAGCGTGCTTTCCATGGCACCATGGTGAGTCTTCTGAGTACATGAAATTCTACTGTTAGGAAGTCATTCTTTTGGCATTATGTCTCTAAAAGACCCTTATTAAACTCCAATATCTCTGGAGAAGGTAATGTCGTGAATCTCATCAGACCTTAATAACTTATTTAGTGTTAATGCTGTTGAATTTGTGTATGAGATTACTTTCTATGGGGAGCTAGCTGAGAGGGGCCCCTGGCTAACCTATGTTTGAGGGAGAGGGTTTGGAAATCTACAGAGAATAGGGTACCTCCTGGGGAAGATGCCCCAGTGGGGGTGCTCTGAAATCCTTTGCAGGGAGTCTCCTGTGCTCTGGACATAGGTGGCTCCTGTACATAAAGCTGACTCTCAGAGCTTCTAGATAATGCATTTTTCCCCTCCCACCCAGGGACTTGGCTGAAGAGACACCATGCCTACATCTGCCTGGTAATCATCTGGGCCTATGCTACCTTCTGGGCAACCATGCCCTTGGCAGGTCTGGGGAACTACGCCCCTGAGCCCTTTGGAACGTCCTGCACCCTCGACTGGTGGCTGGCGCAGGCCTCTGTGACCGGACAAACGTTCATCCTGAACATCCTTTTCTTCTGTCTCTTGCTCCCAACTGCCGTGATTGTCTTCTCCTACGTGAAGATAATTGCTAAGGTCAAGTCCTCCACCAAAGAAGTGGCCCATTTCGACAGCCGGATCCAGAGTAGTCATGTGCTGGAAATGAAACTGACCAAGGTACTGGAGTCATATGTTGGAGGAAATACATTTTGCTGGCTCTAAAAACTTATTTGGGACATACAGGAGAAAGGGATCAGGAAAAGGAACGGGTAGAGAAGCAGCAGAAACTAATGGTGATGGTGCTAGACTCTCTCCTCTGTCCTGTGCTATCTTATTACTCTAGGTTTTTCATTTACCATTCCCATACACATCTCTGCTGTACTCACTTAACTTGGACACAGAATTGTTGAATTAGAAGGGAAGGGAATTAGTATTTTTTAGTGTCTACTTCATGTCAGGCATTGTACTAAGTACTTTTTATAAGTCTTATCTCATTTGATCCTCTTAACAGCCCTGTGAGATAGGTACTATTATTATCCCATTTTATAGCTGAGAAAACTGAGGTTAAGTGACTTGCCCAGGGTCACACAACTAATAAATGTTTGAGACCAGCTTTGAACTCAGATCTTCCTGACTTTAGGCCCAAAGGTCTATTCATTGTACTACTGGAACTGAATCTTCAACATGCTCTAATTTAACCCCTTAAACTGGATCATAAGTTTACAGATGGAAGGGGCCCTAAACACAATGTAGTCTGACCCCTTTATTTTAAAGATGAAGAAACTGAATGCTAGAGTGATCACATGATTTGCACAAGATTGTACAGGTAATAATTAGCAAAGATAGGATGTGAACTCTGGTCATCTCACTCCAAATCAGCCATCTTTCTGCTTTATCACATTGTATGAAGCCTGCTAAAAATTTCCAGACAAGTGGTCTTACTTCTTATACTTTTGGTTGTTCAGTCATATCCAAACTTTGTGACTTTGTTTGGGATTTTTTTTTTTTGGCAGTTGGGGTTAAGTGACTTGCCCAAGGTCACACAGCTAGTAAGTGTCAAGTGTCTAGTCTGAGACCTGATTTGAACTCAGGCCCTCCTGATTCCAGAGCTGGTGAGCTATCCACTGCACCACCTAGCTGCCCCCATTTGGGATTTTCTTGACAAAGATACTGGAGTGGTTTGCCTTTTCTTTCTCTACCCCATTTTACAGATGAGGAAACTGAGGCAAACAGGGTTAAGCTAGTAAGTAACTGAGGCCAGATCCAAACCCAGGTCTCCCTGACTCTAGGCCTAGCGGTCTATTCACTGTGCCACCTAGCTCAATTTTAAGCCTTCCCTTGATGAGAAACCTACCTCCTGAGGATCCCAACATGGTTTTGGACAGCTCTGATTGTTAAGCTTTATATTGAGCAAAATCCGCATGCTTGTAACTTCTACTTAATCATTCTGGCTCTGCTTGCTGGAAGCAAGCACAACATAATCCTTTGTTACCATGATGGTTCCTTGAATCCTTGAAGACAGATATCTTCTCTTCCCCCTTACTTCCCAGTGTTCATGTTTTCTAATGGCTCAATGTCCCCAGTTCTTTTAACGAGTTGATTGTTAATCTCTGGTTATGACTTATGAGGTTAGTTGGTATAAGATGATAGGGCTACATTCAATGATCCCTAAAGTCTCTTCCAGCTCCACCATCCTATGGTCCTATGATCCTGCAATTCTTCTGAAGATGATTATTTTCTCCTGAGTACCATATCTTTAATTCAAGTTGCTATCTCTAGATGCCTGGGCTTGGCTGTGTTGAATACTAGGAGACATTAAGAATAATAGTAACAATATATGACAATAAGATAACTCTTACACTTGGCAATGGGCTTTAAATTCTCTCATTTTGCTCATCGAATAATGCTGTGAGGGAGGTGCTACAGCTATTATACCCATTTCACAGATGAAGAAATTAAGACTCAGAAAGGTTAAGTGATTTCTAAAGGGTCATGTAGCCAGTAAGTATTTGAGGTAGGATTTGAATACCTAACACATCCAGAACTTTTACACTGTGCCACATTGACTAGATCTCTCTCTCTCACCTCTCTCTCTCTCTCATAAAATATTGCTCCTTTAAAAGATAATAGCATAAACAGAAATTGATTTCTAATTACTAACATTTGCATAATAAGGTAAAGTAAACAAGAATTTAATTTTTAAATGAGTTCACAAGGTTTTTTTATTTAAGGCAATTATCCTTTCCACATCACTGGTGTTAGGGGCACTATCCCCACCATCCCCCCTCTCTGCAATCTGGAAAATCTGCATAAAATTTTTTCACTTTCCCTTCATACCAGAGAAGTCTAATTTTTTTCTCTTTTTCTTTTATGGGGTGTTTACAGTACCTTATTGTAAAATTTGGGTTAAGTATTTGGTCATAGGTTCTGTGTTAACTGCTGGCCTTCAGTGCCATCTACAGCTTCTGCAAAACCCCACACCCAAAATTCCCATTTAATTTCTTATGCTGACCTTCAATATATTGAAATCAGGCTGGAGAAAGTTGTGATGTGGAAAGGACAACTGTATTTGTTAAGCCTAACCCAAGAAATATCTATTGGTTTTAATATAGTAGTGGCCATTGTTTTTGTTTTCATTATCCTTTTTGATCTTCCTTTCTTTTAAAAGGCTGTCATCTATCTATCTATCTACTATGCATATAATTGTCTGTTTATCATCTTTTTCTTCAGGCATTTATTATCTCTCCTTCCCAACTGAATAATAATAATAATAATAATAATAATAATAATAATAATAATAGGAAATCCTCATAAAAATATTCATAGTTCATTAAAAGAAATTGCCGCATTAGCCATGTCCAAAAATGTATGTCCCGTTGTATATTTTTTCTTCCACCTCTCTGACAAGGGATGAGTAGCATACTTCATCTTAGTCCTCTGGATTCATGGTTTATCATTACATTCACTAGAACTCCTAAGTCTTTCAAAATTGGCAAGCAACAATTCCAGAGATGTATCAGTGCCTTAGTATACCTCATAGATGTCAGTGTGGCATTGTGGCTAGAGAGCTGCCCTCGAAGCCAGGAAGTCCTGACTCTGATACATATTTGCTGTGTGACTCTGGGCAAGGCACTGAACTTTTCACTGCTCAAGCCAATTCTCTAAAACTACGCATTGCAGAAAAGGTACCAACGTGCATTGGAAGAGGGAATTTCCTTACCTTGGCATTCCCTAATCCTAACTACAACTAAATCTCTTACCTCAATGATTCAACTGCAACTATTTTTCAGTCATTATTTAACCTCATTTTATCACATCAGTGCTAAGATGAAGGCAAAATTATGCTAGGTCTTTCCTTAAAGCCAGAAGCCTTAAAGTTATTAACTCCAAATCAAACTAAGCTCCTTCACACTGGGTCTGTTCATTTTGGTATTTCCATGCTTTGTCGTGGCTTGGCACCACCCTTTGGCCAGTTTGCTCTGATTCATGTGTCTGAAGCATTTGTGCTTCCTACAACCACCACTAAGACCTTATCTGCACCTGCATCTTGCTAGTCTTTTTTTTTTTCCCAAGGGGAAACTCAGCTTCCAATTTGCATATGAAGTCCTCAGGTTGGCAGTTTAACCCCATTCATCTATTTCGGATTACTCTTCCCCTCATGGTAAAGCAGAGAGAAAGAGAAATATAATGCTCCAGGAGGACTCTGAGTTGGAGTAAACCTGCAGAGAAGCTCTTCCCAATAAGGAAAAAAAAAATTCTTGGCAACTATGATTCTATCTCATTGATTGCAAATAATGTTGCCTTTAGCACTCTCAATTTTACACTGAATTTTTCAGCTTCTGCAGGTGTCTATTTGGACTTGTTTTCTTGACATTAAATTCTTATTTTTTTCCTCTTTATATTTTAAATGCATTTTGACAAAGAATGATTTTAAACAGCCAATGCTATTGATTTGGGCCTTAATAGTCCTCAGGAAAGGGTCATTAGGCCACAGGGTTATATGGTGGTGTTTTGCTTGGAGATCAAAAGACCTGGATTTGGGTTCTGGCCCTACAGCTTATTAGCTGTGTACCTTTTGATAAGTCATCTCATAGCTCTAGGCTTCATTTTCCTCCTCCATGAAAGGAAGGGGGTAGATTTCACTTGATGATCCTTAAAGTCCTTTCCAGCTACAAATCCTATACTCTTCTAGCCAGGTTCCTCCACCATTGTTTCTTTGATGGATCATTGTAATTAGGGTTGATGAAGGCAAAGAGCATACCATCCAAACCAGCTTTTTTATGGTTGGTTACCTTAAACAGCTATTTTCTGGGCATCTGTCCAGGATAGTACAGTTAAACCTCATTAATTCAGATGCCACTAATTAGAAAGCTGAGATAATTTAGACTGGGACTAGGCTGCATTTGATCTTTGGACTATACATAGAAAAAAAGAGTTTGCTAAAAATATTAATAGTGTACACAAGATGGACTAGGAAAATGTTTAAAACTACTTAAGAGGACAAATGATTGTGTAGAACTTTAAAAGTCTTTAAAGACTCCCTCTTACATATACAATAGATCTATACCTATATCTATGAAGAATTTCTTAAACTAATAAAATCAGGTGTGACTAGTACAGGTATGTAGATGTTTCAATGGATAAAATGCCAGGCCTGGAGTCAGGGAGACTCATCTTCCTGAGTTAAAATCCAGCCTCGGACACTTACTAGATCTGTGCCCTGTGTTACTTTACTCTCTTTGTCTCTTGTTTCTGCATCTGTAAACTGAGCTAGAGAAGAAAATGGCAAACCATTACAGTATTTTTGCCAGGAAAACCCCAAATGGGGTCATGAAGAGTCGAACATGACTGAAACAATTGAACAACAACAGACCTCTGTGTGTGTGTGTGTACACACACCTACATATATACACATATATATGCCCACATTAATGCAGTTTTAGGTATATACATATACATATATATATATATATATGTATATGTGCTAATTCCACATATATTCTTATACATAATTAGTATATATAATATATATGTATATACATACATTCCTGCATGTGCACAAGCACACACACACACATACACACACACACACACACACACACACACACACAGTGTTTTCAGTCATTTTTTAGCTGTGTCCTACTTTTCATGACCCCATTTGGGATTTTCTCAGCAAA